CAGGAGAGTCCGACACGGTTCAATGGGTCGCCTTCTTTAGGGCGTTTGTGCTTTTTCAGCGACACCCTACACGGTGTGGCCAGTTCTGTTCCTGGTGATCCTGGAAGCAGGGTGTGTCGGTGCATCCTGGTACCAGCACGAGGCCTCGGAAGGAGAAGTTCAAGGTCAACCTTGGCTACAACTGACTGTCTCAAGATTTTAGTTTTCAGCGTTTATGTGTATAGTGTTTTGTCTGGACACACATAAGTAGATACGTGTATGTGCCACGTGTGTATCTGGTGCCTTTGGAGACCAAAGGGGTCATCGGAGACCCCAGCACTGGAGTCACAGTTGTTAAGTGCTTGTACCTACTAAACCAACTCTCTAGCGCCCTCAATTCTCTTTTTTGGGGGTTGGGGAAAGTCTTTGTAGCTCAGGTTGGCTCCTGCAGCAGCCTTACAGGAACACAAGATAACTTTGCTTAAGATCTTAGCAGCCTTGAGAGGCAGAGGCAGGCGGATTTTTGAGTTCGAGAGTTCAAGGCTAGCCTGGTCTACAGAGTGAGTTCCAGGACAGCCAGGGCTACACAGAGAAACCCTGTCTCGAAAAACCAAACCAAACCAAAAAAAAAAAAAAAAAAAAAAAAAATCTTAGCAGCCACCCCAGTGGTATGCCAACACCTCCTCTTTATGGGGAGCTACCGGGAAGCTACCGGGAACTGTTTTCTAGTTGAGGTGCCTGGAGCTGCCAGTGTGGTAGGCTTCCTCTCCTCCCGTGTCCCAGCTGCTTTGTACTGTTAGGAGGATACCACACAGGGTACAGGAGACAACACATTCAGGTATGTGGACTTCCCGCTGCTGCAGGGCATCGATGGTGCGTTCCATGCATGGCCCTCCCCCGGCCCCTTGCCTCACCGAGGTTACCAGGTCTTTTCCAGAGACGCCAGGCACCCTCCTGTCCTGTTCCCAGGGGTGCCTCTTGGTGCACTGCAGGGCTTGTTCAGTTCCTTTGGTAGACTTTTCTCCCCACAAGGCCTTTAGGACCATGGAGGCCAAATTGGCCTCAGTAGAACAAAGGATGACAGGGTCTCCTGACTCTATATGGCAAGCATGATGGCAGGTATGTGCCCATGCCCAGTTTAGGACTTTTTGACATTCCAGTTGTGGGGCTGGAGCTCAAGGCCCGCACACGCTGGCCAGCTGCAGTCACTGTACTTATCTGACATATCTGGCTATCCTCCTTACTGTGAAGATTTCCCAGCCATATCCAGGATCAGCGTGTCTCTCCCTTGGCATCAACTGCCTGTCCCTCTTGATTAGGTACAGAACTCTTTCACATTCTTCAAAGGTTCACTCCATGAAACTTACATTTATATGGGATCTTTCATCCCAGCCCTGGCCCTTGGGAGTAGGGGACACCTGCATCATTCCTGGTACAAGAAAGTGGGTGGACAAAGGTCCTGAGTGAGACACTTGCTGTGTTGGGAGAATTCAAGAGAAAACTAGGAGCTGACAAGGGCACAAGTGGCAGGCGACCACCTCGTGTGTGCCAGGTGTCAGTATTGTAGGACTTGATAAATCCTGCCCTCCGAACCCACCCCTGTGCCTTAATTTCCCCATGACAGGCCGTCTTAATGTCCTATGGTCACTGGGTCAGGAGTAGAGCTTAAGTTCAGTGCCCACGTCTGTTGGACAGTAAGTTCTACATTCAGTACGTGCTGCTGATTGTCTGACCACTGCCTCTCAAAGGCGCTTCCACCAGCCGTTTTCAGATGGGGACATGGCCAAAGTGCAAGCCAGCCTTCCTCACAGTGGCATGCAGTTAGCGCTGCCCACAGGCTTGTGGGTCTCTCTCTCCAGCTCCCTCTCTGTTCTTCTGGACCAATGCTACTAGAAAAAGCAGTTCTTGAGCCGGGCGGTGGTGGCGCATGCCTTTAATCCTAGCACTTGGGAGGCAGAGGCAGGCGGATTTCTGAGTTGGAAGCCAGCCTGGTCTACAGAGTGAGTTCCAGGACAGCCCGGACTATAAAGAGAAACTCTGTCTCAAAACAAACAAACAAAAAAAAAAAAAAAAAAAAAAAAAACAAAAAAAAAAAAGAAAGAAAGAAAGAAAAAAAAAGAAAAAGCAGTTCTGGGTTCAAACCCTATACTCTTCTCCATCATGGAAAATGACCTCCACCAGCCAGCCTCAGGCGGCCCAGCACACTTGTATTCCCTGCGTGTCGGCCTGGAGAAAACTGCCTTACACTTCAGGCTTAGGGTGGGCACAGCCTGCAGCTCCCCTGCTGCTGTGTGACTTCAAGCCTCAGCCGCCTCTCCAATCACCTTGCCGTATCCAGGGGGTCCTGTAAGTCTGGACCAGTGGCTCAGACATGGTCACTACACAGCCCCTCCCGCCACCTGTAGGCCTCACCACACACACAGACATGGGCCTCAGACAGCCTCACCACAGCCTTTATTGGCCGAGTACTCCACCGAGCTCTGCAGGGCGCACGGGGGCTAGGTCAGAGTGGGGACCCTCTGGGTTGTTGAGGGTGACCTATGGCGCAGCTGGGAGAGGCCCGGAACTCTATGAATCCCTGGTCAGGCCTGGCTGGAGGGGGATGAGCTGACTCGGACAAGCTGGACTGAGCCTGGTTCTGTCACTTGGGCGCATTAAAGGGCAGCGCGCGCTGGTTCATCGGGTTGTCAGGGGAGCGCAACCACTCCTTCTTCAGCAGCTGCTTCAGCTGCGACAGCCGCATGTTGGGGTTCTCCTGCTTCAACCGTGGCAGCTGTACCTCCTCAAATGCGGTGAAGGCCGCGCGCATTCGGCGCTCAGGATGCCGGTCCGCTTCCTCCGCCACACTGTAAGCCAAGGAGTCAGGACCCAGGCCTAGGCCCCGCCCCCACCACGCTGCCCTCCTCGGGGCCCCGCCCACACAGCCCCGCCCCGCCCACCTGAGCACTGCTATGGCGTCTTCCACAGTGCGTGCCTCCACGCTGCCCTCTTCCTGCAGGCGCCGGTTCAGGTTCTCCTCCAGGGGCAGCTCCAGGTGGCTCTTAGCCTTTTCCACTGCGGGTGACAAGGACAGGATATGAGAACACTGCAGTGGGCGAGGTCCTCGGGGGTCTGCCCTGGGCCATGTGCACACCTGGCTCCGCACGCTGCTCTTTGCGCAGCGAGTCCTCGATCTGCGCACGTGTGACCTTGGCGGGCGCAACACGTGGGGCCTTGCCACCTTTGAGCCGTGAGTCCTCCTCCTCCAGCAGGCGCTGCGTCTCCTTCTTGCGCTCTAGCTGCTCCAGGCGTCGCTTCTCCTTCTCCTCCTGCAGGGGCAACAGGGTTACCAAGGGAAGCTATGCAGACAGAAGTCCAGGATGGGACTCAAGAGGGCGCCGCTCCCTCCTTCCCCCCTCCCGCCCCCCCCCCGGAAAAAGGACCCGGACAGCTAAAGTGTTTCACAAGGGTATTCCAAGTGCTTTTGTCCCAAACGCGGGGAAGAATGCCTGTCTGGGGTCAAAGTCAAAGACTCCTCTGCCTCAGCCCTGTCCCACTACAGAGTCTTTGCATAGCATTCTGTCCTCTGGAATTCCTCCACTGGCTCTTAACATCCCACTCCTAGTATTCTGGGGAGGGTCGCACACCAGGACAGCTCATCTCCAAAAGAAGGAAGAGTTTTCGGACAGTTCCAAGAGCCCAGGACCAAGTGGTCATCAGTACCAAGACACACACGTTCATGGTGCGAGCCTGGAGTACCACTGAGCTACAGGGGAAGCTGAGGCAGGAGGAGAGGATGAGCCCAGGTGTTGCAGGCAAGCCTGGGTCAGAGACCCTAAAGGCAAATGAAGCTGGTAGAGACATCTCAGCCAGCCAGCAGGGCGAGGCCAGCTGAGGCGACAGGGTCTCTGTTGCCACCTAGTGGTTAGACCTCTTAGCACCGGGCCCGAACCACTCCAAGTACCAAATAGGCACCTGGGGCTGGCTCAAAGACAGGCCTCAGTCACAGTTGATGACACAATGAAGGCTGGAGACAAACGCAGACCCTTCAGCTAGCTTCTGCGTATGCACCCCTCCATGGCCACCTCGAGCCACCTTTCAACCCCGAAGCCCCACGGCGCCCACCTTGCGCTGTTCCTTCCTCATCACGTGTTTGTCCTCATCCTTCCAGTAAGCATCTTCCAACTCCTTCTGTTTCTTGGCATCAGCTGCCGCCTTGGCTTCAGCCCTCCGTGCTCGGGCAGCTGCCGACTTGCTGTTCTCGCCCTGGAACTTCTTGGGCATCCCTCAGCAGGCTGCAGGAAGGACACCATGGAGGGGCTGGACTGTGATGAGGGCCTGCCCCCTCCACTACTTTACAAACCCCACGCAAAGCCATGTTTCAAAAGATAGGGTCTCACTATGTAGACCAGGTTAGCCTGACGACATGATCCTGTCTGACCCTTGGAAGCTATTGGGATTCAAGAAGCAGTGTGTCCCTCAAGTCAGCATTTCCTCTCATTTTATTACCATATATAACTCTGCATCCACGAAATGTAGGCAGTGCCTCTACAGGGAAGAGGGAGCTCCACCCGGAGCTCCACACTGGAGGCTTCTAGACAGGGGCTCCAGCCCTGAGCCACGCCCCCAGCCCCTCCCTGGGGATTCTAGGAAGGGGCTCTACTGTTGAGTCTTTTCTGAGGCTTTTGAAACATTTTAAAAGAAAGATTTATCAGCCGGGCAGTGGTGGTGCACGCCTTTAATCCCAGCACTTGGGAGGCAGAGGCAGGCGGATTTCTGAGTTCGAGGACAGCCTGGTCTACAGAGTGAGTTCCAGGATAGCCAGGGCTATACAGGGAAACCCTGTCTCGAAAAACCAAATAAATAAATAAATAAATAAATATTGTATCTATTTATTTAATGTGAGTACACTGTTCCTCTGTTCAGACACATCAGAAGAGGACACTGGGTGCCATTACAGATGACTGTGACCCACCATGTGGAGGCTGAGGACTGAACTCAGAACCTCTGGAGGAACAGTCAGTGCTCTTAACCACTGAGCCATCTCTCCAGCCTGTTGAAATCATGTTTTAATGACAATTGCAATGTCCTGTCAGCTGCCCCTTCTGTCCCGGGCTCCAGCCCATGAACTACTTCCCCCCTGCCTGTCCCTGGAGGTATTTCCTGTTAACAGATTATTCACCATGTCACTCAGCACTGGGTTTTGTGTCGTTGTGTCAGAGCCTCTGTGGTAGCATAAGCTATGTGCGGCATGTCTAACCATGCCCCTAAGGTGTGGGCTTTTACAAGTCAGTGTAGTGACCCCTGCAGGGCGGGGACTCCCACAGCTGTTGGGGTGTCCGGTTTTAGACTGTGCATATTTGAGTTCTTTCACAGTCCCCTGGCTCACAATCTCTGTAGATGGGGGCCGCTCTGTGGCCTGTGAGCCTACACTAGATCCCTCCAGGTGAAAGGAGGCACAAATAACATGTCTGGAAGAGACGCCGTATGTAGGCTGACTCAACTGTACGCCCCCAGAACTGTAACTGTGGGGTAGTCAGTCATCCCCAGGGTAAGTGGACAAGCTGAGGGGAGGCCATGCTGTGCTGGTACATCAGCCACACCCGTTCCTCTCAGGTGTGGTGGGATGTACCTGCGATCCAAACATCTGGGAGGTTGAGGCATGTGGATTACCAGTTTCAGGCCATCTTAGCCACACAAAGAAACAACCACACCTAATATGTACCTGCCAAGGCCTGCAACATACTGGGCCTCAGACTTCCCACCTAGTGCCCTCGTCTGTCACATTCTCTGCCTCATCCCCATCTCCAGCTCAGTGCCTCAGAATGAGGGAGACAGTCCCGAGGGGCCCAGGACCACCAGGATATCCCCACCCTCAAGCCCTGTTTCCCCCTACTGGAAATCCCGTGCATGCACAGCCATGTATCCTATCAGAAGAGGACTCCCTGCAGACAGCCTGGAGCATGCATAGGTCCATGGCAGGAACGAGGGTGTGTTTCTAGTGTCCACAGAGGCTTTGGTTGGTGAGTGACAGGTAGGAAAGAGGAGGGAGGCAGGGCTGGGGACACACTCCTATCTGGCTTACAAAGCCCCATTCAGCTCCTGTGGGCACAGCTGGGTGTGAACACCATGTGGGCAGGGGTCCTGAGAGCTGGCTATGAGGTCAGGTCATGAAGGGCGGGGGGCCCTGACCTGGCTCCTAAGCACTGTCTGGCCTCAAATGAGCCATCACAGACAAAGTGCAAGGTGGACCACGGCAACTTGGGTTCCTGTGGCCAAGGCATTCCTGTCTGCCTCAGTTTTCTCACAGGGACACTGTGAATTCTGACCCTGCATCATGGGGTAGGCACCAGAACCCTGCACAACAGACCCCAGCTGGACCCCCAAACAGTCCCTGACTCCCAAGCTCCTCACTGGGCCAGCAGCAAAACTCTCCAGGGCTCCCAGGAGCGCGTGCAGAAGCGAGGCCACCCTCCTGTACACCCAGGGAAACTGAGTGCTGTCCAAGGTACGAGTCTCCGAATCTCTTGTGACAGCCACACCTGCCTCCGTTTGAGCCTTCGAACACACCAATCAGCCCTGCCCTCAAGACCTTTACACCTGGCCTGGAACTTTCCATCCTCCTGCCTCAGCAGGATGACAGGCGTGCAGCACTATGCCGGGTTCATGTCTCTCTTATAACCCAGTCAACTCCTGTTGAAACCTCAGGGCCAGGCTGGGTGTGGGGGACATGCCTCTAGTCCTAGCAGAGACAGGTGGATACCTCTGAGTTCCAGACCAGCCTAGGCTACACAGTCAGAGAATCCCTCAAGAAACAAACCAGTTCAGGTGTGGCCCCAGTGAGAATGCCGACCCAGAGAGAGCTCTCTGATTTTCCCAGACCGGATAGTTCTTTTTAAGGAATTTGGTGGTGGCGTCGTGTGTGTGTGTGTGTGTGTGTGTGTGTGTGAGTGTGTGTGTTGGGGGGGCAGGGGGATATCCGGAGTCATTTTAATCCAGACAGAGCCCAGATATCTTGCCCAGGCGGGCCTGGAACTCACAATCCTCCTGCCTGAATGTCGACTGTATAGTTGTCATTTAACAAACCATCGTCACCAGCAGGTTGGGATCATTAAGGAATCCGCGAGCACGGACGGCAAAAGGACCCACCTCACCAGGAACCTGATCAAATCCGCACCACCACCTCGGTTTCCCGACCTACGAACTGCGACAACTACCAGGAAACACTGTCCGAGGCTGGGCATCGTGGGCCCACGCCTATGATCCCAGCACTTGGCAATGCTGAAGCAGGAGAACTACACTGAGTTCTAGGCTAGGCTACAAAATGAGCCTAAGGCTCTAGGCTCTAGGCTGAGTGCAGCCTAGGCTACAAAATGAGCCTAAGATTCTAAGTAATCCCCTTCGAAAAGTGCCTACGTGGTTCCCCATGATTGCCAGGCCGCGCGGCAGGAGGAAAGTGACGGAAAAACGCCTCCTCCTCCTCCAGGAAGCCCTCCCAGCTCGACCTGGGCCGGAAACTGGCTGAACTCTCCGCGAGCTTCTGCGCCTGCGCGCTGGGAGCACCCACCACCGGGCACCCCATGTCTGGTTCCGCCTTCCCGCCGGCAGGACCCCCAGGCCGAGCCGCGCCCGCCCGGCGTGCCCCGCAGTCCGGCTCCGCCCGCGCCACAGTCGTTCCTACCTCTTTCCCCGGCACCGGCTCGGTCGCGTGTCGATGACGTCGCCGCGCCTGCGCACTCAACTATCGGTGGCGCTCTGCTCATGACGTTCTCGGATGCCGCCATCTTGGTAGAGGCTGTACTAGTTTTTCTCTAAACCAAAATACTAAACAAATGTTACCAGCTCTTTTTCTTTCCAAGCAAAATGCTTATTAGAATATCGTGTTATTCCGGGAAGTGGTGGCGCACACCTTTAATCCCTGCACTTGGGAGGCAGAGGCAGGTGGATTTCTGAGTTCGAGGCCAGCCTGGTCTACAGAGTGAGTTCCAGGACAGCCAGGGCTACACAGAGAAACCCTGTCTCGAAAAAAAAAAAAAAGAATATCATGTTATTGCCTCACTTCAGACATTGGTGAACAAAAGCGGAAGATAAAAGCTATACTCTGTAACAGTGACCTCACCAAGATGGCCTCTGCCCGGAGAAACGATGGCGAAGCCAGCCCTAGCCCTAATGCGCGACGGCCTGCACGTCGTTGCCGTGCCGCCAGGGGGCATCCGTGGCCCACGCGGGGTGCGGGGCTGACTGCTCTGGGCTCTTTGTCAGGCCAGTGGCTCCTCCAGCTCTGGGCAAAAGTCAGAAGACATTCTTTGCCCTGTCCGAGTCGGGAAACTGACGATCATAGGGGGTAGAAATTGGATTAAACTAAATTCAGTCGACATAGCCGTAATGGTATCATTCATCCCAGCACGATGGGGCCCGAAGCAGAAGGACTGACTGCAGGCCTGGGCTAAAAGTGACACTGTCTCAAAAATAATTGAACGTAACTGAATCGCTAAATAAATCCCAGCTACTAGGTGTCCTCTGCTGCCCACGTCAGCCCCTCCCTTGTTGTCGAAGCCGACTGTCACTGTTTAATCCTTGTTTTTCTTTACTCACCCCTCCCCTAGTTCTTTTTTGATGCTTCTGTTACTTCATTGACGATTACAGTCATCATAGTCTGTAATACTTAAGATGTTGTGCATCTCGTCACAGTTACTGCCACTTCGGGTCATCTTTGGAGTTTCTGGGTGTCAGTCCCCTGAAGAGGGACAAGCTGAGTCATCCCTCCCGATGGCACCTGAATCACCCCAGGGATCGCTGTTGCTCTAACATCGGCCTTGGCTCCCCGTTGCCTGCGGGTCTTCCTCCACCGCCCTAGCACCAGCTTTCCTGTTTCCCGTCAGCCCCAGCCCCTCCAGCTTCCTTCCCAAAATTGGCAGGCCTGGTCCTGCCTGGTTCTACTTTCCCTACGATGTGATGTTGGGAACAAGGAACCTGCGGGCATTGGGGTGATGTTTGTCATCCGGAAAAGGGGGGGGGGGCACAAGGACGGGGAGGGGCTGAGCCCAGTAAGGTGTGATCCTCTCTTTACTCACTGCGAGGCTGGGGACTGGAGCACAGCTCCCCGCTGTCCCCTGAAGCCCGAGGAGCTTCCGACTCTTCCAGGGAAACTGACTCAGGTAAAAACCGGATGCTCAGTGCGGATGTGACCAAGCATGAAGGTTCAATAACACGAGTGGGAGGCCCACCTGGGGCACAGGCGAGGATTTTCGGGGAAGAGCCTTGCTTTGATAAAAGACATTTACATTTTTTTTCAAAATTCCATTTTCCTTAAGGTGTGAGTGTGCTTGAGTGTGCATGTGCGTGTGTGCGTGTGTGGAGGTGTGCGTGCCTGTGTGTGTGCATGTGTGTGTGTATGCGTGTCACCTCCCAGCCTAGATGCAGGTGTTGAGGTCCGAGGACACCTCCAGTTGCTGATAGGCATGTGACAAGGCTGAGCTGCTAAGGTGCGTGTGTGGACTTGCCCTCCCTAGAAATGGGGTCCTTGGAGATGCCCAGGAAATTTCAGGTTTCCAGCCAGGGAGGGAGGGGCCTTCAACACTGGGAACTGTCAGGCCGGATCCTTGCTTTGCTGGGTAAAGGGTTCCTCTCTCATCTCAGGTTCCCACCATTCACACCCCAGCCTGACTCAGGGATGGGGGTGTACAGACCAGGACTGTACCTCCCATGGAGACTCTGACCTCAGATTTCTATTTTATTCATTCATTTACTTATTTATTTATTATTTTGAGAGGCTCTAACTGTCTAGCCTTTACTACCCTTGGAACTCACAGAGATCCACCTGCCTCTGCTGGGGCAGGCAAGTGTGTCCCACCACACTTGCCTTTGTTTGCTGGTTTGTTTGAGAGAGTGCAGTGTAGCCATGGATGGTCCTGAACTCGTTGTCCCGGAAGCTGGGATGGCAGGCATGCCCCTGTAGCCATGGATGGTCCTGAACTCGTTGTCCCGGGAGCTGGGATGGCAGGCATGCCCCTGTAGGAACGAAAGCAGAAGGTGCAGTTCGAGAGGTGTTTTACTGTGAGAGAGAATGCAGGGCAGGAAAGATGGCTCCGTGGGAAGAGGCGCTGCCCCACCCCCACCCAAACAACAGTCTGAGCTGGCTCTGCCATCCATGTGGTAGACGTTGGGAAGGACAGAAGGAAAGACATACAGCTGTCAATATGGTATTTCAGTTCGTGGACTGCTAATGTCGGCTTTTGCAGGCCATGTGGAGGTCTCATCACCTCAGCAGTGATGGCAGGGAACTGCGGGTGGCCTCCTGCTGGGCCCGCACACGCATTTCTGTTGCCATGGATACATTCCAGTTGTATGAGAGTCACAGGAAAAAAGTTAGCTGAACAGTACCTGGTGTGGCAGCACTGGGGAGGCTGAGGCTAGCCTGGGCTACAAAGTAAGATGTATCTTTTAAGATGCTGTTCTTTTTTTGGTTTTTTGAGACAGGGTTTCTCTGTGTAGTCCTGGCTGTCCTGGAACTCACTCTGTAGACCAGGCTGGCCTCGAACTCAGAAATCCTCCTGTCTTTGCCTCCCAAGTGCTGGGATTAAAGGCATGCACCACCACTGCCCGGCAGATGTATCTTTTAAAAGCAGGTGCTGAGACTAAGTTATTAGAGTGCTTGTTGCTTGGTTGGTAGAGAGCTTGTGGCTCAGTGGGTAGAATGCTTGTGTGGATCCCATAAGCTGAACACAGTGGCATCCACCTGTCACCAGGACACAGGAGTCTGAGGATGGGAAGAGTTCAAAAGCTAGCCTTGAATCTGAGGCCAGCATGGGCTACAGGAGACCCTGAATCAAAAAACAAAAAAACTATGAAAATGCTCTGTCTGCTTCCCTGAGTGACAGAAGGAAGGCTTGTCTCTGTGAGAGGCGACAGCCCGGAGGTACCTTTAGAGAAATGCAAACATTTGTTCCTGATAATCCATCCCTTAGTGTTTGTTTGTTATTAAACTTATTTTATCTGAATGGCTAAGTTCACAGATGACATTGGTTTGGCACGATAAGTTTGCAGGTTGTTAGGAGACAGAAATTCTTGGAGTAACCAGGTAGACCTCTTTTGGTTGGTGGTGCTGAGACAGGATCTCTCTGTGTCCAACAGACTGGCCTAAGGGATTCGCCCTCCTCGGCCTTCTGAGTGGCAAGAGTAAAGGTGTGGGTGCCATACTCTGATATGGTGGGGATGGAACCCAGGGCTTCATTCACGCTAGGCAAGTTCTGTATTACTGAGCCACAAGTACTTTTAACAACTGAGCCACAAGCACTCTTTTTTTTTTTTTTTTTCAAGACAGGGTTTCTGTGTGTAGCCCTGGCTGTCCTGGAACTCGCTCTGTAGACCAGGCTGGCCTCGAACTCAGAAATCCACCTGCCTCTGCCTCCCAAGTGCTGGGATTAAAGGCGTGTGCCACCACCGCCCGGCTACAAGCACTCTTAACAACTGAGCTATAAGTACTGTAACAACTGAGCCACTGTGCTGCTGCCCAGTCACTACTACTTTCTATGAAGTAGGTTTCCCTGTGAAGATTAGGCTGTCCTCAAACCCTGATGTTTCAACCGCTTATGTAGAGGGTGACAGAAATAGGATTATACTCAGCTCAGAATCAGTGGCCACATCATCTCAAAATCTAGGGGATGGAAGAGATGACCAGGGAGACCTAATACCCTAGTTTTAAGCTACCTTCTCTGACACAGCACCTCGGAAAACACCTTGAAGAACTTTCTGTATACTCCTCCCAAAAGGTACATTTTTCACACGCTTGCGAAATTCGTCTACTCAGAATCAAGTCTTAATCTTGTGCACATGATATACTTCTGAGGTCACGTACCCCAGTCAGCAAGCCCAGCCATCCACAGCCAGAGCAAACTGTGTTATCTTTACACACAGTCAGTGTGGCCCAGAGGTACCCAGGGCTACAATGAAGAGGGGTGGGGACATGGCCCATGGGTAGAGCCCCTGCCCAGAATTCCCAAGGGAGGCACAGGGGCGTGGCTCGGGGTGGAGCCCCTGCCTAGAATCCCCAGTGAAGGGCTAGGGTCTGTTCTTAGTTCTGTCCCAAGCAGTGGATATAGTAAAACAAAGCTTGTGTATGAGAGGAGAATGATGTCAGGTTAGTAATAATAAATCCAAATATCTAAAAAGTCTCTGGTCACTCAGTTAAAGGCAGAAGACTCCATGTGTTTTTGTCACCAAGCCAGCACCTCTACACCAGAGGAATCTCCTGGGAGTAGAG